CCCGATAAACTGGATTTCAAATATGTTCTTTACGCCTAATTTCAGTAATTATAAAAACTAATTCAGCAGTAAATTCATTAACAAAATCTTCTTCTTCGCCAACATATTCTCTATTGCGGAATTTACGATAAAAATTTTGACCGATAAATTTGGCTTGAATACCAAAACCTTTTTTTAAACTATTTAAATCATATTTAGTAGTTATTTCTTTTGTTCCATCAGGTTTTTCAATTTCTTCAATTATAACTTTAAAAGAAACTCCGGTCAAGGATTTTTCTAATGAACCTCTTCAATAAGCATCATAATCAGCAAAAACTTTACCAAGACATTTATGTTTAGCGGGTAAAGTTTCAGGATTAGCCATTTTTCTTTTTCCACTCCTCCATTTCTTTAGCGATTTCTTGTCGATGAATTTGGTCTAGTTTTTTATAATTTTCTCACTTTTCATCATTTATAGTCTCGGTGATTAATTGAGAATTGTTTTTAACACTATATTTACGATCAATAATAAAATTTTCGCCATTATCATTAATAATTGTTTCAGTTATGGTAGTGCTTTTTTTAATAGTTCTCTTCATATTCTTTAATTTTAACCTACTTTATTCTCAAATTTCAGGGTCTCCTTTTTTATCCTCCACATATTCTTTAACTTTTTTATTACAAGTGGAACAAAAATTATAAGTTTCGCCATTTTTTAAACCTAATTCATTTGGTTCGGAAACTCCTACTCTTTTCCGATATTTAACACTAATTACTTCAAATTTACAAAAAGCACAAAGGAAATTCTCTTTTTTTTTCTTTTCCTTAGGAGGATTATGATAAAAATCATAACATTCTCGGCAAGTTTTAATCGGTTCATCCATAAAAACTTCTACCGTCTTAGCTAATTCAGTAATTGGTTTTTCCCCGCCACAATTATTACAAGTAAAAGTATCTGCCATATTAATAATTTTAGCCAATTCAACAGAAAACTTCTTTTTCTTTTAACATTTTCTTTTTAGTTTAAACGAAAACAAATAATGGAGTCGAAATTGCCCGCCCTTTTTTCCTTTTGAAAAAGAACTTTCTTGGTGGAATAAGTTAAGGCAATATATAATCTTTATATTCTGGCATAGCCGCTAATTCTTCTCAAGTTTTCCATACATTTTTTTTATCTATATAGATGTTAAAACCATACAGTTTTTTGCTACAATTTATAACTTTATTATTTTTGCCTAAAATGTCAATTGCTAAACCATTTGAACTTAACTTGGATAATTTTTGAATGTCAATAACAACATTTTTAAGATTAGGGTTATTATAACAGTGAAGAACGGTTAAACTACTTGGAAGAGTTGGTAAACTAGTTAGTTGGTTATTTTGACAGTAAAGAGTGGTTAAACTACTTGGAAGAGTTGGTAAACTAGTTAGTTGGTTATTTTGACAGTAAAGAGTGGTTAAATTTTTATATCTTCTCAACCCCCACTCTTTATCCTTTAAAATATGCTTATTAGAATTATTAATTGTTAATGAAGCGGTGGTAGTTTCTCAACCCATTGGCGGAATATCATTTTTCTCTTTTTCCTCCTTAAGTTTCCTAATTACTTCCTGACTTCTTAATAATAATCCAGTTTTTTGGGAATATTCTCCCAAAATTTCATAAACTACTTGGTTCATTTGTTGAACTTGTAAAAATTCCTCACTCTGTTTTTTTAATCTTTCTTCGCTTTTTTCTCGTTTCATTTTTACTTCGGTTAGTTCTTTAATGGTTTTGGTTAAAACGGTGATTTTTTGAAGGTAATAACAATTAAGCATGTAAAAATTATTACAGATTTCGCGAATAATATATCTGCCTATTTTCTTAGTAGTTGAAGTTGAGGATAAAATTTTTATTAACTCTTTAACTTTTTCATTTTTTATGAATTCATCTCTTTCATAAGCAATAGGTGTTTTTCTTTCACTAATCTCGAAAAGAAGTTCAATTAATCTAACTTCTTTTTCATTCAACTCTGTTTTTTCTAAAACTTTTACCCTTTCTTTTAATTCCTCAATTTCTTTATCCCTTGCCAACTTATCCTCTGCTTGCTGTTTTTCCAAATCTTTAACCTGCTTTTCAATCTCTTTTTTATTGGCTAACTCCGATTTTAAATCCTCTTGTAAATGGGCTAAAAAACTCATAACATGAGCATCTTGGGGGTGAATATTTTTTATTTTCTCTTCTAATTTTTGAATATCCTTTTGTTTTTTCTCTATATCGGCTTTTTGTTTTTCTAATAAATCAACTGCTTTTTTAATTTTCTTATTTTGTTCATCAATCCGAGCATTTTTATTTTCAATTTCATTATCTTTTACTTGTTGGAGATGTTGAAAATTAATTTCCCATTGGTTAATTTCAGTTAATAGTTTTTTTTCCTCTTCCTCTTGTTTCTTTTTTCTCTCTTCTAATTCTTTTATTCTGTTTTCATACTCCTCAAATTCTCAATGGCGATAAGGTTGAATTGCTAAGTCTCTAATTTGAGGTTTAGAAACCAAAGCGAGTGCTAATCCTTGTTTAATACTATCTTCCGGAAATCCAGGATGAGATTTTAAGGGTGTAGTTTTTTTTGGTTTGGCAGTTTCGCCGTGAATTCAGCATTTAGTCATTATTTTTAATAATTTGTAGGGTTTCGTCTTATATTTTTCCCTATCATTATCTACTTTTTTTTAAAAAGTAAGGAATAAGTTATCATTTACTAACTTTTGATATCTCTTCAATATTTCTTTGGAGTTCAAGGATTTCAGCAATTTGTGCAAGAAAGTAGAATTTCCCCCTTCTCATTTTTCCTTCTAGCCATGAAGAGTCCTGTGAGGTTTTTTTTTCTTTTTTTGTTTTCAATTTCAAAATAGTCCATATTTATTTATTTTTAAGCGACAGAAATAATCATTTCTCTGCTTTTAGTTTCCAAAAGTTTAATTTTGTTTTCTAAATCTCGGTCAGTATAACCTTTTTCATTCAAAAATTTTAAATAACCATGAGATTCATTTAGACATTCATTAATTTTTTGGATAATCTTACCATTATCTTCTGAAATTACTTCTGGATGAACAATCACTTTTCAAGCATTTATATCTTTGCTAAAAGTTTTTAAAGGCTTTTCATAAATAGTGCCACGACATTCTAATTTCTCCAAATTCTTTAAACTTTCTAAACCTAGTTTAATATGTGGGTTATAAGAAATATCTAATTCAGTTAAATGCTCTAAATTTTCCAAGTCTTTTAAAGTATTAGTTCATTGAGCCGGATAATTCGGTTCACCTTTTATCACTAATTTTTCTAAACTAGTTAAACCATCTAATCTACCTACTTCTCATTCTGCTGGATTATTAGTTAGAATTAATTTAGTTAATTTATCAAGCCCATCAAAGTTAAATCCAGTGATATGGTTGGAATTAGTATATTTTCTGCCTCACGGACAATCCATATTTATGGTTAATTCTTCCAAATTGCCAAAACCTCTTAAATCTAAACTTCCTCGTAATCCTTTTTGGGTTAAATCTAGTTTAGTAATTTTTTCGCGAATATCTTCTGGATATAATTCTCCCATTACTTCATCAATTAGGGTATATTTTAAAACTTCTACATTGCTTTCAACTTCCAAAAACACTCCTTCGGTAATTTTTCGTTTCAAAAGGGTTGCGATATTTAGGTCAAAATTAGTTAGTATTCTTAATTGATTAGGATGCCAAACTCTTTCTAGTTTAGGAAAATCTTCTCATTTTAAACTTAATCCACCTTCTAAACCTTTTTCATTAAGATATAAATCAGTTAGGGTTTTACGTTCTTCTTCAAGATAATTATTATTAAGTCAAATTTTAATGTCTTTTTTCATATAAGTTAATTTTACTTCTCTTGTTCGTGGTTTTTGTCGTTATTTATAATAGGATAGTTATTATTATTTTGATAATTGTTGACATGAGCCAATAATTGAGTAGTTTGATTTTCAATTAGTAAAGCGGGCTGGTTACCAAATTGTAAGATGTATTTTCCACCTCCTCATTCTTTTCCTTGAAACCCTAAAATTCCTTGGGTTATTCCTTCTTGTTTATCTAATTCTCAAGCATCAAAATAGGCTTGTCCGCTTACAATTTCCGGATTATTTTGCCTTTCTTCTTTGGCAAAAGGATTATGACGCATTCCTACTTTGAAAAAAAATCTACTTTCTACTTCCTTTAAATCTTGTCATAATTGTTTACGCTCGGCAGTATCTTTCGGAACAAAGTATTCTCATTTCTTAATTTGATTAGTGGCTTTGCCCGGAGCAACTACGCCGATAAATCCGTGTTCATACGAGTTTAGGGGGTTCTTCCAACCCTCTTTACCGGGGTCTTTTTCAAATTCAATGGTTATCCTTTTTTTACTTTTGTCTTGATCTCAACCAATCAAACCTTTTAAATATCACATTTCTAAAATGTCATGCCTAAATTCAGATAAGTCAAAAGGGTTTCCATCTCCTCATTGGAAAATAACGCATTGGGTTGGATGAGGGGTAAATTCTTGTCCTTTTTGGTCTCCAAAAAAGAGAACTTTTAAGTTGGCTCATTCACCAGTTTGGGTTTGATAACCATCAACCACTTGAGCTAATTGGAGATGACCACCATAATAAACAATGGCTACTTTGCCATGGTTGATCAAAATTTTAACAAAATTAAACCAAATTGGTAATAAATTACCTTGACCAGTTAATTTGCAGACCAAACCAAAATAATAAGTTTTGACAATTCTAATCAGACTGCTTTGGAAACTATTAAAACAATCTAAATTTCTATAAATGTCGCTATATTCCATTATAACATTTCTTCTTCTTTAATATCGATTACCGGAACTTCAAACTCTTTTACTTCCAGCAATTTTTCTAATAAATAAGGAGTGCCGTCAAAATCATTTTCTTCTCCTTCGTTTTTTTTGATAATGTTATTTCATCTTTCCAGTAATTTTTCATAGTCTAAAGTAACTCGGGCTTCCTTAATCCATTCTAAAATCTGTCGAATTTGTTTTTCTTTTTCCTTTTCTCAAGTGCTTAGAGTAAGTTCGATAGTTTTCTCAGTAATGTTTTCGTCATCACCTTCTAAATAGTAACTTCATCCTCTTTCGGTTTCTTCTAACAATTCAGCAATCGCCTCTCGAGCTTGTTTAATAGTTTTAACTGGTTTCATCAAAGTATATTTTTTAGTTCTGATGGCTTTTAAATAACTATTAACAGCAAAAAATAACTTTCTGTTTTTTTCCGCAAGGTTTTTCACCTTCTCTTTTTCTTTAGTTAATTCTTCCTCCTTTAATTTACTTTGGGTTTTTTTTTCTCGCTTAGCATAATCATCTAAAAATTGTTGTTCAGTAATCGCAATATCTGGTCTTTTTTGTAATTCTTCTCATTCAGCTTGAACTTCTTCTAATCCTTTACCACCTCAATTTTCAATTCATTCTCCGAGGTTTTTTTTCAATTCCTCTTTTTCCTGTTGAACTGTTAAAGCAGTCTGATTAGGAAAGATTTGTTCTCACTCTTTTAGTTTATTTTCGGCTTGCTCGCTTCGATTAGTTAGTTCTTGAATTTGCTCTTCGCTTTTTTGTTTAAAAGTGTTATATTCTTCCTCTAAATTATTAAACTTTGTTTGGACTTCATTTGGTTTTTGCTCGCCAAAAGTATCAGTTCAAGTTTTTAATTCTTCTATTTGAGGTTTATAATCAGATAATAATTTTTCTAAATTTTTTAAACGAATTAATTGATTTCTTCAATCTTTGGGCAATTTCTCTACTCCTAATTCTTCATAAGTTTGGATTTTAGACTTATCTTCTGGTTTCAAAGTTTCCTTAACTTGGTCATTTTTTCATCCTTTATCTAAATCTCCTAATCTTTTTTTACTTTCTTCAGAAAGTTGACTACTTTCAATTACTTCTTTAAAAAATTTTTGGTTGAGACCAGTTTCTAGTGGAGTAGTTGAAGGTTCTTCGGTTAATATTGCTTGGTTATTTGCTAATTCTTGGTTCATAAGTTGTTAAATTTTTATTTAGGGTAGATAGTTCTTCTTTTTTTTTAAAATAATCCTTAATTTTTAGATAATCCATTAAGGTTTTTAAACTGCCGCAATCAAAATCATTCTCGCCATTGTATTTTTCTCCTTCATTTCATTTATCGGCTAATTCTTGGTAGTCTCAACTAGTTTGAGCTTCCACAATTCAAATTAATACCTTTTTAACCTTTTGACGACTTTCGGGAACTTGAAAGGCGGGCAGAGCTTGCTCTGGGTGTTTTAAATATTCTCTTCATTCTTGTTCAGTTTTTTGTAAATGTCTTTGGATATTTTCTTCAACTTGACTACTACTTTCAATAGCCTCAGTTAACATTAATTTTCCTTCCTCTCCACCTTCTTTTAAAGTTTCTATCGCTCTTAATAATCTTTCTTTTTCTGCTTTTAATTCTTCATAATCTTGAGCTAAATTAACTGAAGTATTATTAAGGTTAAGGTTCTTAATGGTGGATAAATTTAATCCTTTAATTTCTACCAGATAAGGATTATCCGGCATGATTAATTCTTTCAGGTTAGGGCAATTAGTAAGATTTAATTCGTTTAATTCATTTTGCCCGGCAATTATTTGTTCAATTTTATTATCACCACTGATTTCTAATTTAGTTAATTGGTTGTTGCGAACGTTAATTTCCTTTAAGTTAGGGCAATTAGTAATCTTTAAAGAAGTTAGTTCATGGTTTTTTAAATCAATTTCTGCTAAATTGGGATAATCAGCGATAGTTAATTCACCAGTTAATTTTACTCCGGCTAATAATCCTAAAGAACCTTCTGAAATGATGGTTTTTTGTTCTTGGTCTAATTTTTGATCGATATATTCTTGGGCGTTAATTTGGGTTTTAGTCATAATATTTATTTGATTTCATTTACTTTGGTTTTAATTTTTTGGTAAGTTTCTGCATCGGTTAAATCTTGTAAAGAATTATCTAATAAGCGGTTTTGGGTTTGAAGTTTTTCAAAGTTTTCCGGAGTGGGCAATTGTTCTTTTTCTTGTTTTAAGAGTTCATTTTCTAATTGTAAAGGAGTAGTGGTGAATAGTTCTTGTAATTCCTTAATCAAGGGACTTTGCGAATGATAAGTCAGCAAAATAGAGTATTGACCAACCACTTTTAATTGGAAGGCTAAGGTTTTTAATTTTTCCTCATCCAGATTATCCTTTAATTCTTGATCGGTTAATTCGATTACCTTATGCTGAATGATTGACCAAGTTTGATCTACTATTTTTGGACTAATGGTGATTTCTTTTGATTGACTATCGGCAATCTCTTCTAAATTAGGATAATAAACGGTTAATAACTCTTGGATTGCTAGTTGGTTAGTGGGGAAAGTAGTGGGGTTTAATAATAGTTCAAATTCTTTTTGATATTCTTCTTTTAAATTATCTTTTACTCACTCTAATTCTTCCTTAAATTTCTTTCAAAAGTCAAGGGTTTTATCAGTTTTACCACCGCCTATTGCGGAAAGTTCCTGTGCCAAATTTCAGAATACTAACTGCGGGCAAAACTTACCTGACTGATCTTTTTGCTCAATTAGTAAAAAAATATCGGTTTCACTTCCTTCTTGAGGTTTTTCTTCAGCACTTGGTTGACTAAAATTAACCTTAACTCCTTTCAGTTCGGATAACCTTCGCACTTCTTTAATGACTCCTTTTTTGCGGTTATTTTCAGTAGATAAATCAGCAATTCCTAATTCAGTTCAGAGTTTTTTTTCCTCTTCACTATCCCCAATTTGATCCGGTCAAATTAGAGTTTTTAAATTAGTGAGACCACTCACATTTAATTTAGTAATCGAAGTTTTTAAAAATTGACGATAGATTTCGATTTCTGCCAAGTTTTTAAAAGTGGTTAAATCTAACTCTCCTCCTTCTAATAGTTCGGTTTCGCCTTGTTCTTCTCGTTCTTGATTAATTTTTTCTAGATTAAGTTCAGTAAGTTGTTCCTGATCTTGCAAAGTGGGATATTTTTGAGTTAAGTATTCTTGTAAAGTAGTCATATAATTAATTTTTGTAATTTTTACCTTGGTAAGTTAATGATAGTCACATTTTTGATTTAATAGGCGTTTAAGAATTTTTTTGCTTTCTCTTTCTCTCTTTAATAAATAATAGATACTATATAAAAAGAGGAAAAAAACGATAATACTTGCTACTAGAGTTATTCCAAATAGGATTTTAAAACTAGTTACTCGATCCTCATAAACTTGAATCATTCGTTCCCTTTCTTGACAAACCGCACAATTTTCACATAATTTACTGATTAATTTATTCCGGATAGTGCGATAAGAACTTCTTTCTTCATCCAATAGGTTATCTAACTCCTCTAACTCGGTGCTATGCTCGGTTAATAATTGATTGATCCGGGCTTGCTTTTCGGTATTAGAGAGTTGGGATTGCTCTAATTCGCTAACTTTGGTTTTGATGGTTTGTTTGATTTTCAATTCTTCTTGCTTACAAACTTCTAATTCTTTTCGTCACTTTTCTAACTGGATTTCTTGGGCTTGGATTTCTTGGCGATTTTTTTTGTCCAAGTTTTCTAAACTTTCTTTAACTTCCTTTAAAGTTTTTTGATAGCCAATTAATTTGTGCTTTAATATCTTTAGTTGATCGGAGACTGACATAATAAATGTTATTCGACTCCTCTTATTTAAACAAATTTAAGTTTCTGATTTCCAATATTTGAGCTTCGATTTCATCAGCCTCTTGATTGGCTTCTCGTAATATTTTCAAAACCTCTTCATCTTCTTTCTTTTGCTCTTCTATCTTTTCAGCTTTTTTATTACTTTCGGCTTGGAGTTTTTTTAATTCTTCTTCGGTTTCTTCGGCTTTTTTTTCTACTTCTTTTAATTGAGCCTTTAACTGACTGATTACGGTTTTATAATTAGTTAACTTATTCTTTAATTCTTGAGCTGCTTCTTTACTGGTCATAATTTTATTTAGGTGATATTTCTATTTGGTTATTATTTTTATTTTGGTTCAATGGTTACTTGAGCTAACAAAATTTCTTCAATTTCATCTGCTTCAGCATTTGCTTCGGTTAGTATTCTCTTTAATTCATCTTCGTTTTCCTCTTCTTGTTTTTTTTGTTGTTCCAATTCCTCATTTAATTCTTCATTAAGTGCTTGCCATTGCTGAACTTTATTTTGTAATTTTCGATTGCTTTCTTCGCTAATTTTTAATGACTCATTAGTTTTTGCTAAATCGCTACAAACTTGTTCATAATCCTCAATCCGTTTTCTAGTTTGACTTTCAGCTAACTTATATTTTAATTCGGCCAATTCCTCTTGTAGTTTTTGTTTTTCATTTTGTCAAGTTAGTTCCTTTTCGACTAATCCTTTTAGTAAATTTTCATTAACTATACTTTGATCTTTTAAATCTTTGTAGGCGGCTTCTAAATAGGTTTTATCTTGTAAAACTTGGGAGACTGCTTCCGGACTGGCTTCGGCTACAAAATCTTCCACTTCTCCTACTAAATCATCATAACTATTTTGTGGGGAAGGAGGAGCAACAAAAAAAGGTGAATTGGAATGCCGTTTGTGGTTTGATTTAACAATTTCTTCTAAAGGATTATTATCATTTTCCGCTAAGGGTGAACTGGTCAGAGGATGGTTAAAAATATTACCTTTGGTCAATTCAGTAAAAAGACTAGTTGGGGATTCATTTTGATCATCCTCGTGAAAAGAATCACGGGGAGAATTATTATAACTAACTGGTAGGCTACCAGTGCTTAAATTTGGTTTATGAGTCCGTTTAAATTTAGTGGGTAAGTCGGCTTTCAAGACAAAACTTCGTAAACTATTGTATTGTTTAGTTAGTTCTTTAGCTTGTTGAGCAATTTGTTCTTCAAATTTAACTTGCTGTTCGGCAATAAACTTCAGTAATTGTTCTCTTTCAACTTGATTAATTTTCCTTAATTGACTTAACTCATTAATTTTAGTTAACAAGTTTTGGTGATTAACTTTTTGCTGATCTCGTAAGCGGTGATTTTCATCGATTGCCGCAATAAATTGTTGTTCTAGTTTTTGGTTAGTTAATTTTTCTTGGTTCAAAAGGCGACTTAACTCGACATTTTGATTAGTGAATTGATAAAAATCATCATTAACTTCTTTGAGTTCGTTTTTTAACTGGTCTAATTCTTGGTTTTGTTTAGTTAATTTAGATTCTAAACGAGTATTAGTTAACTCGATTTTTTTTCAATGGTTTGCTTGGTCTTTTCAGGCTTGTTTTTCAATTTCTAACCGACTAATTTGAGAATCGAGTTGGTTAATTCACTGATTTTTATGATTAAGTAATTGGTTAGTGCGGCGAAGTTCTTTTTGATAATCAATTTCTTGGTTTTGTAAACGTTCTAAAACTGTTTCGAGGTTATTTTCTCGCTCCTCGGCAAAACTTTGTTTTTGACGGGATCATTCTTCCAAAATTCCTTTAAATTCTTGAAATTTAGGTAAATTTTTAGAGGAATTTAAGGGGTCAAAGGATCGACGTCGAATTGCCGGAGATAAAGGACGTTGATGGTCGACTGGTAAAGAACCACGGCGGGGATTAAGGTTAGTAAAAGAAAGAGTTTTTGATTTGTTTTTTTCTAAAGAAGTAGTTTTATTTTGTTCGTTAACCATATTGTTTAAAATTTGGCTAACCGATTTTACTTAACTTAAGAAGATATATTATAATTTTATACTTTTTGCTAATTGGTGGGAGGTAACCGGTTAGCATTTGGTTGAACCTCCCATTTGGAGGTAGCTAACCGGTTTTTTAGTTAAGAATTGGGGAGGGGAGGAACGGTTTTCTCGCGAATTTCTTCACGATCTCCATTTAAACAGTCCATAATTAAGAATTTGTCTTGATTTTCAGGAGCGAATTTATCCTTAAACTTCCTAGTTCGAATCGGACAAAAGTATTTGGCGTAAGAGAAAGCCCCATGTAATTCTCTACCATTTAAAAAAATGGGTTCTTTTAGTGAGCGAGACTCTCAATAATCGTTTTGCTTTTTACATTTAAAACAAGTAGTGAACATCAAGAATTTAGTTTGATAACTTATTTTTCTTGATCATCCAAAGGATTAGGGATTTTATCTTTAATTTGGTTGAATTGTTCTTTAACTGCACCAACTTTTTTATGAAAAATGGTTTGACCTTTATTTTTTAGTTTATTAATAAAATTATCGGTTTCAGCGATCATTTCGGTTTCTTCCTTTTTTTCTAAACCAACTTCTAATTCTCTTAATTCGGCTTCATGTTTGGCTTCTCGTTCGATAATATCTAACTCTAAAATAGCCCGAGCCATTTCGGCTTGGTGTCGCGATTTCAGTTTATCAATTCTCCCCTTTTGGCGAATTAACCGCACTTTGGAATTGACTCGGTCTCGTTTGAATGATTTTCAGATTAAGATTCCACTCATAACCATAGTGGCTAAGCCGGCGATGGAGCCAATGACATCTTTTACCATCGTCCAACGTTGAGTTTTTTGACCATCTTGGATTAGTTTAATTAAATCTTGGTTATTTTGGTTCATTTTTTTTTGGGATAATTAGGTTTAAGTTGTATTTCAACTACTTTTTTAGAATTGTTTTTTGTTTTTTTAATGGCTTCTGAATCACTAAATAAAAGCGAGAAAATTAGGATAAAAAAGCGACTTAGATTACTTTTGAGAAAATAAATCCATCTTTATAATTTTCCTAATAGTCTACTATTGGGGAATTTCTCACTAATTTGGTGTTTAAACTGCTCTTTTTGTTTTTCGGTAGAGTTTTCATATTGTTTTAAAACCATATTTTCTAATTGTTCTAGAACTCAATCGGCTACTTCTACTGCGATAGGGAGCAATTGATTTTTCAATTCAGCTAGTGATTTAGCGATAAACTCCAAACTTTTGACTTTTAAATATTCGATAATCGGTTTAGCGGCTCACTCAATTCAAACTCCTTCGGCAACCACTTCTCCTTTTTCGGCTTCTTTTTGAGTTAAATCTGGGAGAACTACATTTTGAATGTAATTTACGGCTTGCTCTTCCACATATTGAGTATTATTTTCGACACTTTCTTTGGCGGGTTCTTCCAAAACTCCTTCATCATTTCAGATATGTTTTTTAATTTGTTCTAAAGAATTAATAATAACCTGTTGGTTATGTAACATTTGTTGATTTTGTTCTTCGATAGTTAATTTTTGAGTCATATATTATTATTTTAGTAAAATATAAGTCATTATTTAAATGACTTATTTATTTTGATTTGGTTAGTCATCATCTCATTCATCCTCGCTTTCGGTTTCGGCTGATTTTGGTTTACTTTCTTTGTCTAAAGTCATCAATGCTTTAATTAACCTAATATCTCCTTTAAGTTCCTTATATTTTTGGTCTTTTTTAGTTAATTTGTCTTCTAAACTTTTAATTCTTTGTTCATTGGTTTTGTGTTTATTTTCGTGTTCATGGTCGTTTTTTTGAAGAGTTATTTTATCCTTTTCAAATTTAGCCTTATAACCTAAAAACATGGTGGTTAATCCTAAATAACCCACCGTTAAGATTCCAAAACCGATTATACATTTGTTATCCATAAGTTTTATTTTTTTTTGTTGTTTATTTTTTTTATTATTATCATTAATCCTACTAATAAAGTCATTATTCCGCCGGCAGTTAGAATGATTTTTAAAGTTTTTCCGATTACCGCTTGCCTAAGTTCTTGGGGGCATTGCGAATAAAAAATCTTTTTTTGATTCTGCCCCTCTAAAACTCCTCAGACTTTTAAAATTTCTTGAGGATGATTTCGACACCTAAATATTTGGATATTTTCCCCTAAATCTTTGCGGCAGACATTACAATTAAAGGTTTTGTTGCCCTCTCCTAAATCCACTTCGTTAATCTCGGTTTTATTTTTTCATTGATCGCACTGAAAACAATAGCGATAGTGTTGGTTATCCATTATTTCTTATTTCTTTTTCCCACCTTCTATCATAAACCACATGGGTCATCTTTTCTAAAAAGTCATTCGCATTATCTTCAGACTGCTTCAATTTCACTAACTCATCATAACTTTTGCGGAAACTTTTTAGCAGATTATAATAGCCATCCATGGTATTTTCCTCAATGGCTTCTTCACTTAGTTTTCTTAAAATTTCCGAAGTGTCCAAAGTTGGATCAGAATTTAAAAACTTTTTGATACTTTCTCTAATTCTTTCTCATTTTTCTTCTGAAGTTTCTCGACCATAAAAAATATTTACCAACCGATCAATAAAAGCACTGGCTTCATCGTCTCCCTTATAACTGACTAATTTATCATAATAAGGAGCATGCCTTAACTTCTCCAACAAGTTATAAAAAGTTTCGGTATTACTAGACTTTAAAGTTTCTTCAATTAATCCACTTAGAGTGGGAGAGCCGATAATATCTTCATCGGTCAATAAATAATCCCTCGCTTTTTCTCTAAGTCTCTTTTCGCGTTCTTCTTTGGTTTCTAATCCGTAAAATATTTGTTTTTGGTTCATATTATGCTCTAGCATTGTGTTTCATATTTAAAGTTCAAACTTCTTTCTTTTCTTCATTTTCCTCAAAAGTAAAGTAAACTTTGGTATTATTTAAGCGGTATAAGTTAACAATATCTTGGATTACTTTTGGATCTTTCGAACGCAGATAATTATCATCATAAACTTTATCTTTGATAAATTTCTTAATATCTTTTTCAATTGCCCCATTTAAAACATTCTTCATTTCTTCGGCAATTTCTTGTTTACCTATTTTTTTCTCTTCTTCCAAAGCTTTTCCATAAACTGCCCCAATTAGATTACTTTGACTTTTTAAATTTAAGCCTTTGGGGAAGTTTTTGTCTTTAGCAATGAAATTAGTAATCAATTCTTTTAATAATTCTTTAGCATCATTGGCTCTCATTTCAGGTTTTGGAGTATCTAAATATCTTTCTCAAAGTCCTTTGTCCGGAATACTTTTTGAAATTCAACCTGGTTCAAACATTCCTTTGGCATCAGCTTCAACTTTCCAAGCAATTTTAGTTAAAGGTTCGCCTTTTTTGGCTCGGTCTTTTTCACTTTTATCAACTTTTAAGCCAATTAAAATTTCGGCTGGGGGTTTACCAAAGCGATGCGGATGAGCTAATCCACCTCATAACATTTTAATGTCATAAAAAGCATATTCGGCATTTTTAATTGGAGTAATATCTCCATCAAAACAAGCTTTAACCATTGCGGCTTCAATGTCTTCTTCAACAATAATTTCTTGACATTCCTTGGTTAGAGTTATCCACAGTCCATTTTGAATTCTTCCACCTCGTCCTTGTTCCTGAATGTCGGAAGAGATAGGATTAAATTGAGTCATTTTTTCCGAATATTCAAAATTCTTACCAAGATTAGAAACTTCGATTAGTCCTGTAGAAATCACAGTATCTATTTCAAAAGTTAGTCCCATTTGGTGTTCGAAATTTCCGAGCATGACTGCCCCTGGTTGTCTTCCAAAAGAAACGGTTTCGCAGAAATCTTTATAAACTGGCGTAAAAGCCACGCAAGAGTATTTAGTGCCAAAAACGGCACTTTGTTCGGCGGTAATATTTATGTCGCGAACAAAAATAAGCGTTTTACCAAATCTAAATCTTTCATCTAAACTAACTGGCACTGGTAAATATTGCCCTTTTTCATCTTGCCATTTTATCGTTGAGACATCAACCTTTCGGAATTTAGCCAAGGCTTCCGCATGTTTTTCATTAGCGATCTTCATGGTGAAGCCAGGCATTTTTGGATCTAATTCCCCACTGTAAAAAGATTTCTTAGGATAAGTAGAAGTAGTTGAAAATGGCACTCCTGGGAAAGTAGCTGACATTCGCACTACCTTAAATTCTGCTTGCACCATTTTTAATTGTAAAGCCTGATAAGCACCGATATTATAATGGGCTTCATCAAAAACAATTGTCGTATCATCTTTAGAAACTAATTTACTTTTGATTTCTTTTATTATTTCTTCTAAAATTTGGTCATTTCATTCCGGAGTATTATCAGGTTTTCATTCATCGATTGCCCCTGATTTAACCATTTTTTCTCTGGCGCTATATCCTAATAGGTGGCCGAAATACAATATCGAAAGTCCTTTTTTTCCTTCTTGTCATCTATCTCCTCCCACATTTCCTTTATCATCTTTTCAGTAAACTAATCGTTGCTTAGCTACTGGATAATCTCCGTGACTTCCGTAAATTTCTACTGGTTGATCTTCGGCATATCCATCATCTATTTCTTGTTGAGTAGCTTCTTTTAAAGTTCCTCTCAAAACCTTAACTCGCTTTGATATTTTGCAAAAAACACAACCTCATTCTTGTAATCAGGAAGTGTGGTGTTTGAAAGCACTTTCTACTAAAGTAGGAGTTGGACAAATTAAAATTACATGTTCTTTACCCCCATTTACCATACAGTTCATGGTCTTGGTAGTTTTTCCTCCTCCTGCCGCAACCGCTAAATGTCCTTGAGTTCCTTTATCGCCACCAATAACATCGATTTCTTTGGATTTTACTACTGGCGTTTTAGTCATAGTATAACCTTGACGCTCCATTACCGTTCAAGTAATCTTTTTTTTTCCTGGCAAACAGAAAAAGTTTTGGGCGGCATCGGGTTCGTGGATATACTTTTGTGGGTCAAAGGGTCGATTTTTCCGATCCGTTGATTTTTCGTAAAAGTATTTCAGTAAAGAACTACCTCTTTTTTCAGTAGGTAATTTTTCTTCGAATTTAACTATGTCATCGGGTAATTCATACCCTCCCTTTGACATTAACCAACTCTGTGGGTCTCCATCATCATTTTTGCCGTAAAGTTTTTCGTTAGGCTCATCCAAATCTTCTCAACCTCGTCCGGGTTGCAAAAGTTTTTGGCTTTCAAGAATTTTTTTTTTGGTTAGGTCTTTTTCTTCTTTGATTTGTTCATCTAAACTCTCATTCATTTCTTTTATTCCCAAATCAGCCTTCAAAAAAGCATTTATTATCTTAGTATTCGCTTGCTCATAATTAGTAGCATCCCAAGCTTTATCTTTCATTTTAGCTAATATACCATCTAATTCGACTTTATCCAGTCCTCCATCCTCTTTAAGAGTTAAAGAGTATCATAAGTTTTCTTTTTGTTTGGCTACTATATCAGTAATTTGCTGGTCTTTATTTGCTGGTAATAAGTTTCTTTTTAGCTCTTGGAATGTTTTGTCAATATTGACTTGTTCGGCATCTAATTCTCGTAAAAATTTAAAGTTGGTTATTTTTTGGACTAGTTTATCAACTTTGGCGATTTCATTATCAATGTCCGCTTTTTTGACTTTTAAGACCTCAACATCATTAATTTGAAAAGGTTTTTTAAATAAATCCTCTCCTTGGTAATTAATCTTACTGTCTTTAATTTCAGTAGGTTTAATTCAACCATTATCATAAGCAATTCGTTGGTCTTTGCCGGTATTGGGGAGACCGGTTGGGGAAGTTCTTCACAGTTCAATTGATTTATCATCTAATTTAGTCGAATTTTGACCTTGAAAATATTGTTTAAATAATTCTACTATTCGCTTATCTTTTAATATCCTTATTTCTTCATAGTTAATCGTATCAGGGACTTGTTTTTCATCGTAAATATCTTTATTAATTTTGTTGTCAGTAGGAAAATTATCTAAGATAGTTTCCAAATCTATTTTTTGGACTATAAAATCATGGGCTTTTTTGACCTCGGGAGCCAAATGTTTTAAAGGATCTATTTTGTGGATAGTTTTTTTATAACCTTTACCTTTTACCACAGTTTCAGTGGTATAAGTTTCGATTTTTTTGTTATCGCCAATTAAACCCTCTGGATTATTATATCAACCGTTATTATAAATAAGTTTGGCCACTTCTAGACTTAAATTGCTTTTTCTTCAATTTACTTGTCAAGCGAGATCAATATTATTTAGAATATCGTGCTTTTCAAAAAAGTTATTTCATTCCTTTTCCCTTCTTTGTTTAGGAATATCGGTTAAAACTGCTTGAATTTTTTCTGGAGTAGGGGCTTTATTAATGCGGTTTTTTTCTAAATCGTTTAAAGGTTTATCCTCTCCTACTATTTCAGCCGCTTTTAAAACCGCATCTTTATAAACTCCTTCAGCAGTTTTTACATTACTGCCGTATTTGTTAGACCAGAATAATTGTTCATTACTATCCACAATACCATGATCCTCATTAAACTCCCTTCATTTAGCAATCGCATCAATTCTCGCTTGTTTGTCAGCATTTTGCATGGCAATTGCTTCCGGATCTCGCCGCATTCCTTCGCGACCGGAAGGAACTCCATCTCCAGGTTCTTCGGGGAAAAACTCTTTTTCTCCCATGATATCACGGAGTTTTCTTAATAATTGGCCTTTGTTTTCAAAAGATTTTTCAACTAGGTTAATAGTTTCACCAAATTTATCTTCAATAGCTTTATTGGTCTCTTCTCATTTTTTATAAGGAATAAGGAATTTATTGATGTTTTGGTTAATAAATTCACTATCTCCTTTATATTTACCCTCAACAATATTCTTTTCGCCTAAAACTCCTTTTAAATGGTCAAAGTCTTGTTTTTGGTTTCAGCCACCGGTAAATTTACCATTAACAAAGTTTTCTTTACCGAAGAATTCGTGAAAAGTTTGGATAATTATTTCTTGACCGCCCTTATATTTACCGTTTTGGAAATTTTGAGAACCGAAAATATCTTGTAAATAACTTAAAAGTTGGCTTTTATCTACTCCTTGAGGTAAATTTTGGAGTAGTTTGGTAGTTTCAGATTTAACTAACTGCTTAAAAAGGGTTTGATTGGCTATTTTTTGTTCAGTTAATAGAGTTTTTTTGAAAAGAGCTAGTGAAGAATAGAGAGCTTGGGAGTTGAAGTTCATGGTTTTTTATATTATTGCTTATTCTTCTTCTCCTTCTGATTCTTTTCTTAATTCATCAAGATTTTTAACTCCATCACTTCCGACATGATTTAACACTCATTCTGAACTAGCATAGTCACCACCTTTGGTATTAACTAATCAATTAGCA